GTGTGTGTGTGTGTGTGTGTGTGTGTGTGTGTGTGTGTGTGTGTGTGGTGTTGGTTACTCTTCTGTTGCTGTGATAAAATATCATGACCAAGGCAACTTATAGAAGTAAGGTTTTATTTGGCCTTACAGTTCCAGAAGGATGAGAATCTATTACGGACAAAAGCAACAGGGCATGGCAGCAAGAACAGGAGCTGAGAACTCACATCTTGAGCTAGAAGCATCAAGGAAAGAGAGTAAACTAGCAACAGGGTGAGGATTTGAACTTTTAAGTTTACTACTCCCAGTGATATACTTCCTCCAGGAAAGCTTTGCCACCTAAACCTTGAAGTGACACCAGCAACTGGGGACCAATTGTTCAAATGACCAAAATATAGGGAACACTTCTCATTCAAAGCAATGCAAAATGACTCGATGACAAAATGCCAAGAACCACATAAACACTCAGCTATGTAACTCAAAGAGACAGAGCTGAAATAGAGTCAAGACTTAACCTTCTCGTAAAAGGTACTAAAGGCCAGGAGTAAGGCAAAGATGGGCAGAAGGAGATGTAGGGCTGAATCGCAAGAAATCCAAAATCATAGCTTCTAAACTCCAGCTCTGGAGTCAGGTTGCCTCATTTCGCTTGCTGACTCTACCATCACAAGCTACTCTACCCAAAGTAACACTTACATTCTCTGTAGTAACTGCCAGTTGCTGTAAGGACTGAAAGAAAGAACACACGGACAGCCTCTGGCATGAGACTCATCTCATTGGGACAGCGATAGATAGATAGATAGATAGATAGATAGATAGATAGATAGATAGATAGATAGATAGAGCGAGCAAGCAGCTTGTTCTGCGATTATCCACGGGAAGGAAGACAGAAAAGGAGCTGCCATGGAGGGAAGGATAAAGATGCAGGTTAGTGGATATTTTAAGAGGAAGCCAATGACGTTGACTCTGTAGATAGGCCGAAGGAGAATGCCAGTGTGTTCTTTCAATCCCTGGAATGCTGAGAAGTTACATTAGTGGGAGTGGAGGACTGCAGTATCACCCAGCAAGTCACAGTGAGGTGTGTTAACTTCAGCACACAAACACAGCACATCTGAGAACCAGGCAGATGAAAGGAGGGGGCTTTGGTTTTTCCCATTTTGGCTGGCTGAATTCCTCAAGCATTTGTTCAGATTTCTTCCAAAGCCCATCCCTACAATAGAGATGTAAAGATGTGATCCGTAAAATAGCCCCTCCAGAAATTTCAGTTTTGCTGAGAGAAAATGTCAACTCTAAATTCCAAGATTCTGATTTTAATTCCTAGCACTCAGTGTCTGCCTGGAAGCTCATTGCTCAAGCAGATAATCATTTACTGTGCTGAGAAAGGAGCTGCTCAGATTCTGCGCAGGGCCACATTCACAGCTCTCCTTGGGAGCTTGGGTCGCACTCACCTGTCCAGCATCACCTCCCACCGGCCACTCTCCACACTTAGGTCATCCACTTGCTCTTTGAACCTAGAGAACCCCAGCACCCTTCACACCTTGAGGCTCCCTTACCTGCTGCTTACCCTGGAATGTTTCCCATCTCCTATGACTCTGCTCATTTCTCCCCCGCTTTACCTTCTCATTTATCCCATAAATTCCATTCATAAGGTGCTTCCACTAAACCCAGGAGACATAGCAGAGACATTCGACGTGGTTGAATGTAAATATGGAGCTGCCTTACTGGGCAGCGAACGATCTGTTTATTGAGAAAATGCTTGTGGCTTTGTCAAAACCACACTGGATGAAAAGCCGCTCAGCAAGCTAGTGTTTTTTTTTTCCTCGTGTCTTCATTCCCTCACTCAGGCGCTACTCAACAATAGCAAGTCCAGACTCCATACACGGTGGCGACCAGACTCCATACACGGTGGTGACACCCCAGACAAGCTCTTCTCATCATTTGACATCTTCCTCCTAAAGAGTTCTCCCCTTAAAGCTGCAGCTAGTCTGTTGTGATTCAATGTCCCTACTTTAAAGCTAACCCCAAGGAGTCAGGTTTGGTGGTATACTGGAGTTTGAGGCCAGCCTTGGTTACAAGGTAAGATGCCATCAATAAAGAAAGGAAGAGCTGGTCCGGTGGCTCATGCCTGTAATCCCAGCACTTGGGCAGGCAGAGGCAGGAGGATCTCTACAAAGCAAGTCCAGGATAGCCAAGGCTACACAAAAGAAACTCTGTCTCAAAACAAACAAACAATCAAAAAACAAACAAACAAAAAGGAAAGAAAGAGGAAGAGAGGGAAGGAGAAAGCAAACGGGAGTTAATAATCGCTTCCAAATACAGAGTGCTGTGTTCATCTTTTTTTTTTCTTTTTTTTTTAATTAAACTCAAGCTACGGCATCCGTCAAGTCCTCATGTTTTCCTTCAAATTCCTGCCCATCAAAGCTGTCCTGCAAGGGATTTGAGTTGGGCATTCTGTCTCCTATCAGGTTTAACTCTCAGACGAGACGCTCTGCCTGGAATGCCTATCTCAGAGGCCAGGAGTCCTGCTTGTGTGTCTGTGAGCCCACGGACCTCAAGAATCGCTCAAGCTGAAGCTTCGCCTTCGTTAGTACCATTTTGTCACATAACCACCCAGCCAAACCTCAGTGGATGGTGCCGGAGCCCGCCGGTTCACTCTCTCAGTGGCTCCGGGCTGGGTGTCGGGTTCGTGGACACCCAGAAGTGAACGACGCATAGTAGCATAGGGACTTAGCTGTGGTTAAGAATACAAGACCAACGGATGGTGCTGTCACGTGGTGGTTAAGCAGGGGTCGAACCTCCACCCCTGCTCCTTTGCGCTTCAGCCCGTGACCCTGGACAACTGTTTAATCTCCACATACCAAGATTTTCTTGCAGGCCTGGTGAGAGTCATAGTGCCAGTCCTGGGGTGCTCTGAGGAGCAAGTGAGTTAACCCACCCAGTACTAGAAATAGCGCTGGATGACGACCACAACTTGGTACACAGCTTTCGGCCTTTTAGCGGAAAGCGCTTGAAACTCGCCAACGTGTCCGAGTTTGAATCAGTTCTTGGAGTTACAAAACTTGAAAGCCTCAGAACTCAAACCTCAGCGCAAGAACGGAACATGAACTGGGGCGGCAGCACAGCTTTTTCTCCAATCAGAGCCCTCAAGGCTGGAGCCACGTTTGCGACCTCGTCCAATCTGGTCACCAGGAGGGCGGGGACGCAAGCTCCTACCTGCACCTGTAGCTGGGCGGCCGCCTCCTGTCCCACCCTGACCCTCCCCTTCTCCACGGTTCTGGTGTCCTCAGTCCTTTGACCAGCCACCAGCAGGAGGGCAGATGTCCTTACGGACGCTCAGGAAAAGCGAGTGCGCCGGAGCCAGCAGCCGAGGTCCCATCCCGCAGCCGCCGGGGAGCAGCGCGAGCGGGAAGGAGGAACGCGCCCCAGAATGTGAGGCTCCCCTCCCTAGAGCGGCGGCGAATGCAAAGGCTGTCCCTCCCTAGAGCGGCGGACCTGACAGCCCCTGCGAGCTGAGAGGACCGCGGCTTGTCCCACCGCGGGCGAGGGTCAGAGGTGTTGGGCGAGACCTGCCTCTCTCCGAGACCGCTAGCGACGCGGGACAACGCGCCCAAGCTGCAGGTGGCCCCGAGACGCCCCTCGGAGCTCTGGACAGCCTGCGCGGCACGGAGCCGCGGTGGCTTTGGAAGCTCCTGCAGGTGAGAGAACCGGAGTCCCTCTGCGTGTGACAGGACAGACCCTGGCGCTGCGACGTCCCTCGGGAATGCTGTCTCGCGTCTTGGGTTGGGGGGTTGTTTTTCCCATCTGCAAGGTAGGAGGGAAGGAGGTGGGTACAGAACCCACCACGATGGTGCCTGAGGGTGTGGGCGCCTTTCATAGGAAAAGAACTTTGGGCTTGTTCTGCTTTTACGGTTTTCGAGTTCCAGCTCGAGCGTGTCCTCAGGGCATCCTGGGGAGGAGACGACAGTGCCAGCGGCCAGTGCGCCGCCTCCCGTAGGCGCTGAGACTTCCTCTCTCGAGCAGTTCCGGGAGAACCTGAAACAACAAATGTGGCCCAAGTTCTCCTCTTTTGCGCACTCGCGAATCCCAGGAGCGGGTTGCTCATGGGTTGCGAAGCGGAGGAGCTGAAACCTAGAAGTGGGCGGTGTGCCCGAGCCCTGCCCAGTCCCGGTGGTCGTGTCCAGGCGCACGCGCACGCGCAAGGGAAGTGTGCCCGGAGCGTGGCTTGCAGTATTTGGGCTCCCGTAAGTCAGTGTTTGGGGGAAAAGAAAGCTTTTCTGGAGTTACTGGTTGCGCCCTCTCCTTTGGAGGCAGGGAAAGGGCCAGAAACCTTTAGTTTATAATGACGAAAATGCTCAAGAGCTGGAGAAGACATAAGGGAAGAAGAAAGACTGGGGCGTGAGTCCTTCCTACAGTCGGGAGATCGGCTCTAGGGAATAAAAGGACGAGTGGGATGGTGGTTTTCAAGGTTTAGACGGCCTCTGAAAGTCACAAGGTAGAAGTGGTTTGAAGCAGTTTGACGTAAGCACAGCAACGCACTTATGGGTCCCGCTTTCTCATTTGAATACACTGCCAAGCATCTCTACTCAACTTCATAGAAAAAATGCTTTAGAAAAAAATTTAGCTCATAGAGGACTGCTGCTTAGGTGCCCTTGAGGCTTGCTTCAGCCTGCTCTCTCTTTTCTTTTCTTTTTCTTTTTTTCTTTATTTGTTTTGTTTTGTTTTTCAAGACAGGGTTTCCCTGTGTAACCTTGGCTGTCCTGGACTCTCTTTGTAGACCAGTCTGGCCTCGAATTCACAGAGGTCCGCCCGCCTCTGCCTCCTTAGGTGCTGGGATTGCAGGCCTGTGCCACCAAGCCCAGCTATCCTTTTTTATATAACCCAGGATCACAAGCCCAGGAATGGCCTCACTCACAATGTGCTGGGAACTTCCCCCTTCAATCACTAAAAAAGAAAATGCCTGATCTTCATTGCTCATCTGTAATGGGCAGAACATGCTAGGTTCCCTAAACCACCCTACACAGGGTGTTCCTCTGAAGGAAGGCAGTTCTAGGGCAGATGAGCACCTGTAGTGGTCCTTATAGGGCCATGCTGAGTGGCAGGCCAGGCCATAATCCCTCTGGAGCCAGGCTGATGTTGATGGTCAAGGACCTCCACTGGGTGGCCACTGCACTTTGCTGAGAGTGAAGGCAAAGACTGAGGCCTTCAAGGAGATCAAGCCTGTAGATCAGCTGGTGTCCTGCTGGAGGCCACTGGTTACTGAGCTGAACATCCCAACTAACAGGAAAGGAGAATCGTGAGTCTGCTACTTGTTACTTGACGAACCCAAGTTTTGCTTTCCTCTCTGTGCAGGGCCCTCCCTAGGCTCCCTGGAAAGGCTGGAGTGAACAATCTGAGACGACAGAGATAGAGGGGACGTCCTGGCCCAAGGCGCGGGGTGCCTGGGGTCCCCAGGCCTACTGGCCATGGCGGACAGTGGCAGCTCTGCCAGCAGCTCCGGCCCCTGGTGGAAATCGTTAACCAGGAAGAAAAGCAAGGAAGTCCCGGTGGGGTTGCAGCCTCAGGTTCAGCCAGAGACCAAGGATCCCTCACCACCTTACCCTGATCGGACTAGTAGAGAAAACCAGCATTCCAACGTCCTTGGGGACACCGGAGAGCCTCCCAGGTCAGATAAGCTGTGTGAGGAGAAATCAGGCAGCAGCCGGCGCAATTTGAAGATCTCACGTTCTGGCAGATTCAAGGAGAAGAGGAAAGTGCGAGCCACGCTGCTCCCGGAAGGAGACAGGTCCACGGAGGAGGAGGCCGACCTTCCAGATGACCCCCAGGAAGACAAGCAATAGCCTGAGCAAGCTTCCAGGACTGTCTCTCTCTCTGTGGCGAGAGAAACACTATTACCCCTGGCCCTAGCACTGGGTGTCCCACTTAAGTTCAGAATGTTCAGGTGAACAAAGCCTTCAAGATTTAATTTTTTTTTTTTCTAGAAAATGAAGGGTCAGCTGGGTCTTCAGTATTCCATGACTCCAGGACGAGTGAGTATTTTTGTGGGAAGTTTAGGTATCTGCTGCTGAGGAAGGTGGCTTTTTAAAAAGCTATTCTGAGGTGTCACTGTTGCAGGAGGGAAAAGGCTAGATGGATATTTCAGAGGCAATGAGGAGGTGATGGCCACTCCAGCTTCTTAAGTGAGGAAGCCATGCTCTCTCCTAGGACTCTGGAGAACAATTTACAGCACTGTTTTTAATGGCTGGGAAATGCACTTTAGGGTATTACCCTAGATTTATTTTTATGCGAAGGGATGGGAGAGGACCCTCTCCCCAGGTTAGAAGTATTGAGAAGATTGCTTTAAGTGAGAACTGCAAAGCTGTATGCCTGTTTAGTGTGCACTATTAAAATTGTTCAACTGTAAGACTTAAGGTGATTTTCTTTTCTTTTTTTTTTTTCTGTTCTAAGTTTGAAACTCATCATACTTAAAAGCAGGCATGCAAGGTCCCAAGTGACAAGGTTAATTATTTGCCACGGAGCTACTGTCAGAGAGCTGCTGGGCAAAGAACTTTTCTAGAAACCAGCAACACCCAGCTGGAACCAGTTCACCAGATATTTCCATTTGCCAACCAAATTCAATGGAAGGGAGTGGTACTAATTCATGCTACCTACATTCTCCTGTTTCTTTGGTGCACTTCCCTGGAGTAACTCACAAAGCCTTTTTTAGCATCCATTGTGACCCTCACAAGAATTGTCCAAAAACATTTGAATGCATGGACTGAGCTCATTCAGTTTGTGCAAAGCTGTTTTCCCCACCTGTTGCTTCAAAGCCTATATCAACTAGTCCGAGTCTACGCTTATCTAATTTCAAAGCCTTTGATCTGTGAAGTGGAAGATTCTTACCAACAACAAAAAAAATCCACCCTTTTGCTTTTATTATGACCTTCAAGAAAAAGAGTAAATGAATACCACCTGCTTTCAGCAGTTTTACAAGAGAGCATTGTTGAACCCTAGAGAGAGACACTGAGACTCTTCCCACATACCCTGCTTCATTTACAAACAAATGCAAAGCAGGGGAATCACCCCCTCCGAGATGTGTGCCTTTTTTGTCTTTAATGAGGAAACACTTGGTTGGGGAGGCTCCAATTTTTTATATAGGAAGGCTGGGTTTTTGTTGTTATCAAATTATTTATGAAATAGTCAAATGTGTTAGCTATCTATGGAAATCTCACTGAGGTATTTGATGAGGGTGGCTAAAATGCATTGACATCAATGACTTGGAGTTGAGTGCCACAGAATAATAGAGCTAATGATCTGATACCTCAGTTTCTACTTACCTAAAACCTTATTCTAAAGGAAATTGCTGGAGATTATTTACCTGGCAATTATGACTACCTTACATTAAAAGAGAAAAATGCATTTTCCCTTTATTGTTGTTTTATGTTCTTTGTAAGCATGAGAAGACTGTTAAAGTACATTTAGAACCAGAAAGTATGTGGCCATTGTCTCTGGGGTTGGCTTCTTGGATGAGAAAGACTTCCCATGGATTTTAGTGGCTTCTTATGGGTGGATTCAAATGAAGGAGAACTGAGGAAAAAAAAAAAGTGGATGAAAGCCTGTGTGGACGAGGGAGAGTGTGGACTATAGTGAGCAGTACAGGTATTGAGGGATAACTTCTGGAGAACTTTACAAGACATTTTAAATTCAGTTTGTAGGAAATAATAAAAACCAGAATAGACACCTATGCAGAATATCTTCTACCCCTAGGAGGACAGTAAGTCAAGGCTGTTCTCATCAATAGAATTAGGTCTATGCCCAAGTATTGTAAAAGATGTTATACTTGCTCTTTCACCAACATTTTATTGTTTTAAAAATATCATGTTCTTCATCATCATCATCTTTAAAATCCCTCTACATCTACAAAGCATTGGCACTTTTCCAGCTTCCGTGTGTGGTGTTGGATCCCATCCAACTCTGTAATTGCATGGATATCCAATAGCAGGTCCAGGGCAGTACAAGTTATAGCCACCCTACTATTCTGAAATGAAGCCATGCTCTAGGCAGTTATGACAGTGAGTGCAGTTTGCAATCTGCCATTGGGGTTTGTAATTACATCGTTTTCAAGTGCTCCTGAATTATGCAACAGAAAGAACACACTGATTTAATCCCAAGTCGGGGAAATCTGAAACCACACAAAATTGCTAGGATAATAAGATCATGAGTAGGATAAGATAATTTGACAAAGTGTCTTTCTGGGATTTGTAGGCTTTGCAGACAATCAATTACATTCCCAGAATCCATACAGACTTTCAGCACGTCTTAAACCAAAATCTTAGAGTAAATAAAACAAAATTGCTACAGAAAGAATTTGGAGTTTATTAAATTAGAAATTTGTATTTGCTTTAAATGTCTTTATAAGTAAAATTTCACTCCCAAATTTGGAAGCCAGTACAGAAAATTTAATACTACGCCTTCCAAACCATGTAAAGGGAGACTCAGAGTGCTGTGGTGTGTTCCCTAAGCAGTCTTGTAACCATGACAATTACACATGGATAGTTTTGCCCCACTGGGTCTCCTTGCAAAGCTGGTGGCTGAGCAGTGACTCATGTTTCAGGTCCTCTGGCTGCCCCTTTGTGTCTATCCTTCTGTTCCTCTCCTTCTCTGGCTTTCGCTTCAGAAGCCCTGGGACCCAGTTCTGATGCATGTGCTCAGGTTCATGCACCAGAATCCAGGCAGTTTTTAAAGACTTTGTCTTGAAACCCTATGTGAAGTTAGCTCCTCTGGTGCTGCCCCGTCTTTAGACAGGAGATGTGAAGTTGATAGTGAGTGGGTTTGTTGACCAAAACCTCATCAGAAATATTTTCTTGAGAAGCACAGAAGAATGTTTCAATGTTTTAAAGCAAATAAATCAAACAACTAGCAGAAAGACTGCCAAGTAAAAGGTGAACAAGAAAGGAATATGTGAATGGGTACAAATGTCCAGGAATCAGGAACCTGTCATGGAAAAAAAAAAAAAAGAATATTCTTTTTCCTATGTTGAGGCATGTCTGCCACACTAAAAACCAGCACACAACAAGTGAGCTTGGTAAATATACTAACTTCATTTTTAAAACTTTTTATGAATTTTTTTATTATTAAAAAATCCTTGGAAATAAACAAAACAAAAAAAAAAAAACAAAAAACACACACACCAAAATTAACCAGACCCAAGGTCTATACATCTCAGTGAATTTTCATACAATAAAAATAGACATTAGGAACAGAAGCTGACATTTGAATCTTTTCTTTTCATAAAATATTTTATAATAACTGTGTTAGCTTTTAAATGTTTTGTTTTTGTTTTTTTTTTTTGGAACAAATTCATCTCAATAGCAAGTAGAAAGTGCGACCATTTGGATGTCAATTTACAAGTACACTTTTCTAGAAACAGCTGTGGACCTCAGTGTGAACTTGCTAAAGATTCTGTGGCCCTGTGGAATCACTGTCCTTGTCACCTGCTCTCAGACCTTCCTGGCTCCGTTCTGACCTTTCCTTTGAGCCATGGCACATGCATTCCCATGAGGCTCAGCATTGTGGAAGGGGAGCTCCAGAGGCCCTGTGAGAGTTTCACCAGCCACTAAAGATTTGGAGCTCCGTGTGCAATAGCACACGTGGCCGCCAGTCTCCGAAAGATGAACCTGAGGAAACTACTCGGGCCTGACATTAGCAGAGACAGGTGGGCACTTGCACGGGATGGATGAGAACTAGACGTCATGGTAAATGGTACTGAAGGCCACAGACAGGCAATCCTTATGGTTATGCCAAGCAAGGGCTCTAACCAAATTGGGCTGTATGTAAAACACTGGGGTCATAACCATCGTGCCAGAGTTTTTGACTTAACCCTTGAAGCAATATGATCTCAGGAAAGTGTATCTTCATCGCTGGGGTGTGGAACATGACTGTTGATCCTGAAGTTAAAGTTTTCTGGCTCCAAACTGGTAAGTTTCATATTAAGGAAAGGAAAAATGAAAATCTCTGGCCCTGACCGACTGGATAAGAGATTTAGAACTAACCTCTGTGCTTTTTTTTTTTTTTTTTCAAAGAGATTTAACCTTGTGTTACAACCGCCAATAGCCAGTGAGTCAGTGTAATGTTGGCTCACTCCTCCACCAGAGGGCGGCCAGCTGAAACCTTCTGTACTCTCAGTGGTACCTGCTCTGCTGCCATTTCTGACTTGCTTCTACAAGGCTTAGGTAACCTGGGCGTTTATTTACTCTGCCATAAAATGAGGGGGTGGAGTTTATAGTCCAGCTTTAAAATCCTCTTTCCTGTGCTGCTATTTTGAGTGACTGGTGGTAAAATTATAAAATGTTCAGTGTTTACCTTAAAGCAGAAGGAACTAGCTACTTGGTGGTCAGGTGTTGCCACCACCTTGCTGTCATTTGGCCCAGAAATGAAGTGTTCTCCTGCTACCTAGGAGCATTGAGTCTCTTCATTCATGGTGAAAATGCAATTGCAGATGTTGTAGCAAATAAGCATTGAAAGGTGTGCTTTAGGGACTGGGCATATAGCTCTAAGTCGGTTAGGAAATGCTTTGGGTGCAAGCAAGCAGACTCACACAAAAAGCTAAGCCTAGTGGCATGTGCTTGAGGGTTAGAGACAGATCCCTGGGCTTTGCTGGCCAGCCATCATAGCCTGATTGGCATGTTCCAGGCTAATGAGGGTCACTACCTTAAAGACCAGGTGATGGGTCCCGAAGAATGACACCGACAACTGACCTCTGGCCTCTACACACATGTACATGATCATGTGCACACACAGACGAACAGAGAGAGCACAGAAACGGTCATTCCTCAACTCTTTATCCTTTTCCGAATCCCTGCAGGGAAGACTGTCCCCTTCACAAGGGCTGCCATCTCTCTCTAGCCTTTCCATAGGACTAACCACTTTGCACCGTGCAGACATCTGTCTATCTTGTCGGCTCTGTCAGAGGTCAGATTCTTTCCGCAGTCTGCCCCGCAAACCCTCGTGAGACTTATGGGTGCCTTTCTGCTTGCTAGTGCTTGTATCCCAAGTATCTCCCAGACTCTTGCATGGCTCACTCCTCAGCCTGTGAGAAGGAGGTGTAACCTTCAGGATGTAGAAAGTCACTGGGGAGGGAGGCATGGCGGTACATACATCTATTCCCAGGACTTGGGAGGATCAGCAGCTCAAGATTATCCTTGGCTACAAAGCAAAATTTGAGGCCAGCCCTGGCTATATGAGACCCTGTCTCAAAACAGCAAAGCAACAAAAATACACAAGGTCTTGGGTAGCAACTTCCAGAGGGCATATTGGGACTTCAGCCCCTACCTGATTCTTTCTTTTTTGCTTCCCAGATGCCATGAGGTGAGTAGCCTAATCCTCCTCACGTTGTCTGCCATAATGCTCTATGTCACCATAGGCCCCAAAGCCACATGGCCTAGTGGCCATAGAGTAACATTTCAGAGACTGTGAGTCAAAGGCAAACTTTTCTTTCTTATAACTAGATTGTTTTATATTTTGTTACAGTCACAGAAAGCCAAATAACACACCATTTCCTGCTCACAGCCTTCTCCTGGCATTGCTGACCACTTTACTGAGACCGTCTTTCTTCGTGCATTCCAGCCTGTGCTGCCCACCACCAGCCACCAGATCACATGGCCTTGTGACCCTTTGAGTTAGGAAACTCAGGGAAATTCAAAGGGGCAATACAATTCCCTATGTGCTTTTAGAAAAGAATGGATATGTCAATGGTTCTTAGAAGGGTCACAATCATTCTTTTCTCACCCAGGGAGCGGGCTGTTCTGGCCAGTAGAATTTGGCCAGATCTGAACTGAAGATCGTGACTAGTCAGAGTCCATTAGGAGAGAAAATGCACACAGTAACAAGAAAACTGGATATCTACTGGAAAGGCTAGTCTCCAGAACAGGGATTTGAAATATACCGGGGATTTGATCGGCTATAAGATTTCAGTTGGGGTGCTATGTAAATGAGAAGCCACTAGACTTTGGGCTGCCACAAAGCACTCAGGGCAGATCTCTTCTTCCCCCCAGCCCTGTAAAGTTTCATGAGAAATGGGACAGTCATGACTTCAATTGATAGAGAAGTCACTGTGATTTTCCCTAGGACAAGCTACTAGAACTCTGCCCTCTAGAAATGGCCGCTAAATGGGCACTAAAGCACTCACTAATGAGCCACAACTCTCATGAATGACCTTATCATATGAACTATCACTGTGGTGGTTACAGTATGGGAAGGAAATTTCTGCAAGCATTTCTGCAAATTCACCTGACTCAGATTCAGATTTGTGGCATGTCCTGCTCAACACTCATTTGATAGTGTCTCCCCCCGCAACCCCCAATAGTGTCTGAAGTCATCAGAACTGCTTTGTGGGATCCATCTCCTCTCCAGCCACTCCAGTCAAAGCAAGTTCTGTCCAGCTCTCTGACTAGCATTGTCTTCTCCCTCCAGGTCTGCCTCCCACAGAGGGGTGAGCAGACTTGGGGGTTGCTGGGAACTCCAGAGCCTCTTAAGATAGGTGCTCTTGCTAGGCTTCAGTGATGCTGAGGACACTTCTGCTGCCTGATCAACCACATGGAAACAGCTCGCATGGACTTACCTCACCTTTCTGGCTTCAGTTCCTTTCCCTAGCAAAGTGGAGTTGATGAACAGCTCATGAAGCAAGTGCATGCACAGGCATAGCCCTCTGAAAAACTACATAGCCATGCAGAAGCCTTCCTTAACTCCTGCCCTCACACACATTCTCCATTCCTCGGTGGAAGTTGAGGGTGCTCTGAACTCTTTCAACACAGTCTAAACTTTAGGAATTAGAAATCCCAAAACATCTGTTGTTCAAACAGCTCACCGAGGGTGGCAGTAACACCTCTAGGCAAGTGGGTTGTATAAGCAAGCAAGCTCATTAAGCAAGACAGGGAGCAAGACAGGACACATTGCTCCTCCATGGCCTCCACTTCAGTTCCTGCCTCCAGGTTCCTGCTTTGAGTCCCTGCTTGGCTTCTCTCCATGATGAATGCAATCTGTAAGCTGAAAAACCGTTTTCTTCCCAAGTTGGTTTTGGTCAGTGTTTTCTCACAACAGATAAAGCAAATTAGAACACCTGGCATAGAATAATTAAGCTTATGCATAATATACAACAATATACATAATATACAGTTATATATATGTATATATATAATACACATATATTGTTGAAAATTTATCTTAAGTATAAATAAATAAATATATATAGATTTATATATTTAGGTATATTTAAATATGTGTAACATAATACTAAATATATTTAAGTATAAATATATTCTCTCTATATAAAAACTCTAAAACCCCTGGAATGAGAATTCTGAGTGAATTTCTAACCCTGGAGGCAGTAAAAGAAGCAGGAAATGTTCTCATCTTTACAATTCCACATGACTTATTCAAGATGTTCACTTCTGTCCAGGGCATGGCAATTTTACATAGGAGATGTTTGCTTCAAGTAACTTCTTGGCAACTCCCATAGGATGTCAAAGCCACCAAGCCTTGCAAACTGCCTGCTTCAGGGAATTTGATGTTTGATGGAAGGCAGCTCCTCACATCTTCACCCTTGGGTGTATTCTACATCTCTTTCTTTCACATAGAGGTCAACTCTCGGGGTTTACATGGAGAAGATTTGGGGCAGGTGAGCCTTGGTGACACAGAGTAGCAGATTCTTAATGATAGTCTCCAGAGGCACAAGCATTTCAAGAGGGAGTGTCCTTGCACCCACCCCTTCCCCAGTTGGACAAAATCTAAAGAATATGTGTGACCACTGCTAACTCTTCAGAACTAACACTATCAGCGCCAGAGAGCATTCAGAGAGGAAAGAGTCAGTTGCCACCCTTTTAGTTACAGAGACGCAGGAATGAAGCTTCCTGTGAACAAGGGAAGATTTCCTCAGACAGGCAGGCTGTGGTGGAGTTAGGCTGCTGTACCCAGACACACCTTGAAATGTGGAATGTTCTTTCCTTGGCAACAGAGTTCAGTGTTGAAGCCCAGCTGGCTGTCTTCCTTGGTTGATCAAGGAATTAGTGAACACAGACTAAACACAACTGATTTCACTACACACAACCTGATTTCTGTCCCTCCTTCTTCTATTCAGCTGACCATTTGGCTCCCTGTTCTTTAATTCATTTATCAGGAGACTTGTTCAAATATTCGTGTTCAGGCTTTCCTACATGTGAAAATGAAGTGTGGCCACCCAGACCTCACCACCTCTCTGGTAAATGATGGTCCTGGGATCCGTTCACTAGATGACAGCACTTACAAGCCCCTGGGGCAACCCGCCATATAGACCTTCCAAACCACTGCCTGATACCGAGAAGAAACAGTCACAACTGCTGTTCAACAGGCCAGAACGCTGACCACACTCAGTGACCCATTCAACTTGCCCATCTGGGAACCCCTTCATATTATTTGGTCTGGACAGAAACTGTATGTTGCTAGGGTGTTACCTTATTGTTCCTGTATCCAAGTCCTTTTAGTGCAGACTTTGCAGTTCCTCCTGTCAAGGTGTGCCAGGTGTTTCCTAACCCTTTTGTGGGTTATCTCATGATTGCTTTGGCCAAAAGATATGGTAGAAGGATTTTACTCCAATTTGATGTTATTTTTCTCAGGCTACTGTAACAAAATACTACAGGCTAAATGGCTTAAAGGACAGATAATTTTTTTCCCAAAGTTATAGAGACAAAAACTCTAAGATCAAAGTGTCAAGGCAGGGTTCTAGGTCAGGCTTTCTTCCTGGATTGCACATGACTTCCTTCTCAGTTTCTCCCCTTGGGGACTTTCCTATGTGCATTGTGTAAAATTGATATCTGATGTCTGTCTATCTCTGTCTGTTTGTCTGTCTGTCTCTGTCTCACTGATGCTCTCTGTCTCTTTACCTGTCTGTCTCTTTCTTTCTCTCTCATGCACACACACACAGAGACACACACACACACTTACTCTCTTTGAGGACACCTATCCTGTTGGATCAAACTGCCAACCCAAGGCTTCATTCAACATTATTAACTCCACATAGATCTATCACCAAACAAACAGATTTGATGCAGTCCCTAGCGTAAAAGCCAGGCCTTAAGGGCCCTGCCAGCATATAATCTTTCTGGATCCCACCCCCAACTTGAGGCAGCACTGGTCTATCCAGCTGCTGAGGAAGAAGAAAGACCATAGGAGCAGAAATGGGCTGTTTTCATAAGGTCTGAGAACAGCAGGCACAGTGCATGAGGGTGTGTGTGTGTGTGTGTGTGTGTGTGTGTGTGTGTGTGTATGTATTAGATATGTGTGTATATATAACAGGGATATATGTATATAACAGTTACATATGTGTGTATCAGATTTGTGTGTATATATAACAGATATATATATATACACACATGTGATATATGTGTATAAATACCAAGTGTGTGTATGTAACAGTTATGTGTGTGTGTTTTTATGTATGCATGTGCACGTCAAAGAGGCCTCAGTTACATTTCTCTCAATACACATGAGCTTCAGTACCTCTTAAACATTACGCTTCTTTGTGGGTCGGTGTGCAGGTATGTGTTCATGTGGGCACGTGTCTGCATTTGCAGGAAGGTTGAAGGTTAATTTCTGCCTTCGTTTCTCAGGAACCATCCACCTTGCTTTATGTGATGGATAGCTAGCAAATGCCGAGGACCTCCTGTCACCACCTCCCCAGCACTGAACTTCATGCACGCAGTACTGTGCCGGCCTCTTTACAAGTGTTCTGAAGACTGAACTCTGCCCGTCAAGCCTGCGTGGCAAGTTCAAGCATTAGACTTCTGTATCTCCCTGTGTTTACTCTTTTCAGAGCTGCCCATGTTCCTATTATAATCAGTTTTGTTGTTCTTGTTCATTAGTCGAGAGGCATTTGCTTGTCTTGTTCCTTCATCTAGATTCTTTCAGCCACATTTACATGGTGACAGGATTGAACTATTACGGGCTTGCTTTGTATTGTGGTTGTTTTGTGTTTGCTTGCCTCTTTGGACATCTTCTATTTTTCTTTCTTTCTTTCTTTGTATTTATTTATTTTTTTAACTCTTTGTCATGGCTATCCAGTAGAGCTGTCACTTTCCTGGGTACACTACCAGTGAATTGTCCTCACTCCTTTTTTTTTTTTTTTCTTCCAACTGGAGGCAAAGTGATCATCCACCAGCAATAACCATCTGTCTTCCTGAAGGAGAAGAAAAACTGGATTCTAACTAGGGGTGAGAAGCTCACCCAAAGCACAGCCTAGCTCCCCAAATGTATGGTTATGATATGACCATATTAGGAAAAGGGATTTTTTTACAGTGGCCAGGAAAGTTTTTAAAGAGCTCACACCCTGGATTTTCCAGACTCTCCAGGTGGAGTCTGCATAATTATTTACAGCTGCGAACAAACAACACCCACTGTGGAGAGGAGCAGGAGAGAGGCTGAGCCTGCTGGTGGGCAGCAAAGGCTGGAGTCTGGGAGCCACAGTGTAACCACTGCCTGCCAGTGTCAAGGACAATCCTCTCTTGGAACCAGCAGAGGAAGGGCAGCTGTGTTCGTAACTGGTAACTCAATTTCAGACCTTTGGCCTCCAGACTTGTGAGGGTAAATTTGTGTTGCCTTAAACCATCGGGTTTGGGTTTGTGGTAATTTATTATGGCTGCTAGAGGCTCTACCACGCCACCTGTCACTCCTTTGGTGCCCTCCCTCTTACGTTGTGTGTATTTTACTTTGCTGACAAGTGATGAAAAGAAAAAAAAGAAAGGAGTTATACAAAGTCCAAGAGAAAAGCAGGGAATAGAGAGCAGAGGTGGGTGAGGAATACTACTTAGGGGAGGACAGAAGGAAGAGGGAAGGAAGAAATTAAACAGAGAGAAGAGAGCAAGAGAGAGAAATGAGGTAAGGACCAGATGGCATCCACTCAGGTACTTGGCTCTTTCCTTTGCCTCCCTCCATCTCCCACCCTCCCTGCACTGTCATGGTCTCCAGTTCCCTTAGGCATTCTGCTACGCTAAGCAAGTTCATTTATTTATGCTCTTCAGATTTTTGAACACTCCTGGTCTCTAACCTGCAGGCAGGAGACAGTCTTAGAAGCCAAGGTAAGTCCAAAGCTCACCCGGGAAGCTCCCTTTGCATATGCTCTAGGGCACCACAGTCAGGGTCTCCTAAGCAAGCTAAGGCTGCCAAAAGCACCCACTTGGAATGCTTCCGCGGTCACATCACCCCACTCTCTTTGCCACCCACAACACAACTGAGCTCAACAATGCAAGCAGCCCACACGTGCAAAAATTCCAAAGTTTGGGGAGGGCACTGTGGTTGTTTTTATTGTTTATGGTCCATCTTGGTTCGGCTGGGGGACCTTTAACATCTGCTGCCCCTAATGGTCCCTGGAAGTGAAGCTCCCCTAAATGATCCTGGAAGCAAGGGCAGGCGTTGACTTGAGGTCTGTCAGCAGAATTTAGAGATAAGTGCCATCTTCTACCCATTGCCCCCATCACTCTTCGCATATTCTTATCCAATTTTTGGAAAATTTCTCTGAATTTCTATCCAGGCATTTTCCATCATTTCTTGAGAGGATTTTTCAGCATTATTGAAGTCTGTTTTATATTGTGACCGTCTACTGCTCAAAAAAGTATTTTAAGATTTACATGTGGTAAAGCAAACCTCTTTGGCATACAGCTCTGTGAGTAAGAGGAACTTTTTGGAGTAGTATAACAACCGACCCATCAACACATAAGACAATTCACTTTTTTCCCTCAGTACTGGCAGCCGCCCAGTTCCCAGACATAGCCAACACCACGGGTTTTGGAGACCTGAAAAGTCCCACTGTTTTCTCCAGGCGCCCAACCATTACCTGACAAGAGCTGCATAGTGGAGAACGCACCACCACAAACCAACGTGGCAGTATTCAAAGCAATCTCTGGCCCACTGCCCACAGACCTGTGTCATGTTGACACAATTAAAATAAACCTCGTCTTCAAGGAGTGAAGACAACTTTGGGCAAGCGCGGCCCTGCCGATGTGAAAGACAAAACAGGAAGCAGAGCTATGAACCCTAAAGAAGATGGTGACAGCGATCTCTTTGGATCTGAGGAAGGAAGTGAAGAAGCAAAGAGGCCTCCGAGAAGAGTGCCTTGCACAGTGTGAATCCAAGAAAGCCGAAAAGCCTGCACGTGTTGCCAAGTCTTCCATCTTACTAGAAGTGAACCCTTGGGATGATGAGACAGACATGATAAAACTGGAGAAGTGCATCAGGAACATCTGAGTTGATGGCTTGGTGGGGGATGGGGGTCTTCCTAAATTGGTTTCCCATGGGATATGGAATTTAAAAGCTTCAAATACATAGTGTAGTTGAAGATGATAACGTTGGAACAGATACGTTGGAAGAGCAGGTTACTTTTAAGGACTATGTTGCAGTCCATGAAGGTGCCTGCCTTTTTACAAAACCTAAAATCTATTCTCACCTCAAGTCAGCACATTAAATAAAAGGATGAAAGAATTTTTTAAAAAATATATAAAAAAAATTCCCTCTTAGTAAAAATAAATAAATAAATAAAAATTACAAAGATTGCATCTTGGTAATCAAATCCTCTTTCTTTCCTTAGGCTGTGGCTACTGATATGAGTTCATCCCATCCAGAACTTTATATAAATAGATATAGGTTGTTTAGTTGGTTTTGGCTTTTCAAGATAGGTTTTCTCCATGTAAAAGAGCCCTGATTATACTGGACTTGCTCTATAGACCAGGCTGGCCTCAAACTCCTAGAGATCTGCCTATCTCTGCCTCCAGAGTGCTGGGATTAAAGACATGCATCACCATGCCTGGCATATCTTGATTTCTTCAGTAATTCATGGATTCCTTTAATACGTCTACTTTAAGAAGGCAAACAGTATGGACATCAGAAGAGGGAGAAAACAGGGAACAGGACAGGAGCCTACCACCGAGGGCCTCTGAAAGACTCTACCCAGCAGGGTATTAAAGCAGATGCTGAGACTCATAGCCAAACTTTGGGCAGAGTGCAGGAAATCTTATGAAAGAAGGGGAGGTAGAAAGACCTGGAGGGGACAGGAGCTCCACAAGGAGAGCAACAGAACCAAAAAATCTGACCACAGGGGTCTTTTCTGAGACTGATACTCCAACCAAGGACCATGCCTGGAGATAACCTAGAACACTTGCACAGATGTAGCCCATGGCAGCTCAGTGTCCAAGTGGGTTGCCTAGTAAGGGGAACAGGGACTGTCTCTGACATGAACTCAGGGACTGGCTCTTCGATCACTTCCCCCTGAGGGGGGAACAGCCTTACCAGGCCACAGAGGAAGACAATGCAACCAGTCCTGATGAGACCTGATAGGCTAGGGTCAGATGGAAGGGGAGGGGGACCTCTCTTATCATTGGACTTGGAGAGGGGCATGGGAAGAGATGAGGGAGGGGGCTACAGCTGGGATACAATAAACTGTAATGAATATAAAAATATATAAAGAAAAAAATTTCTGAATGTCACTCCTTTTAATTTATTAGCAGTTAAGCTCATAAACACCACTATTGGTTTATCCATCTACCCAGTGAAGGATATTTAGGGATTTCCAGTGTTTTGTTTTTTTTTCCTTCCATTTATAAGCAGTACTGTTGTCATTACCTTAAAACCAGCTCTTTCTGGTTTTAAGCTAGAACTTGGCAAGCAAAGCTTCCAGGTCAGACCCGGCTTGGATCCTCTGGATCCTGTTTCTGAAGTGAATGGTGTCTTCATCAATAGGGACTTACCTCCAACCTCTGGGAGGCAACTAAAATTTAGCCTATTTTTTCAAAGAGGTTATTATAATTTTTTTGTCTCTTGACTTTCAAAAGTTTCTTTTAATTTAATTTTCTGAAGATTTCATGAGTAGCAGATTTATGTCATTTCCACACCTCTATCTCTCCACTCCAACTCCTCCTGTGCTCCCCCACCCTTTTTCAAAGCCATGTCCTCTTCTTTAATTATTGTTACATAACTGTCTATGTGCCTATGCATATACAAACACAGCCTGCTGGGCTAACTTCGTGTTGCTTACATTTGTATTTGTTTAGAGCTGCCCACTTGGGATTGGATAACCTATGAGAGGGCTCATCCCTGGAGAAGACTGATTCTTCCTCTCTCGGCAACCATTAATTGCATAGAGCTCTTCATCCAGGAGTGGGGTCTTGTGGGATTTCCATTATTCACAGGTCCTCTGGTGTTTTCATGGTGCCAGTGTTGTTTAGGCAACTTTATTTTTGTGATCTCTCAGGTGCAGCTTCCCTTTCATACCTAAAAGACATAATCTGGCAGCAGACTTTCTGGAGCTCTGACTCTTGGCATCTGTGTTGTCCCTCTTCCTTGATATTCCCTGAGCCTTCTGTGCAGAGGTTTGTGTTATAGATATATACAATTGGGTATAATTGTATGGCCAACTCACAATCAGTTGTTCTCTGGGTTTTGACAGAGCCTCAATTTGCTACAAAACAAAGCCTTTTTGATGAGGAGTGATGGCACTAAGCATCTGCTGAGGGTAATAATAATAATAATAATAATAATAATAATAATAATAATAATAAACTTAGAATGTAACTAGAGGTTACACTGGTTCGGGAAAGTGGCAGCAGTAAGTTCTTCTCTAGGGTCTAAGATGTTACCAGCTATGGCTAGTTCACTTGGCTTATAGTACCGGGCATGGATTCCCTCCTACTGTATGGATGTTGTTTAATTAGATAGTTGTTGGTTATCCCCAAGAAATAAGTGTCATTGCCACATCCTTAGAACTATCTTGCTGTGCTGGTTATTGATGTGATTCATAGCCTTACAGCTGGGTAGGACTCTCAATCACCAAATTCCCCCTTTGGCAACTTGCACAGCACCCTTAATAGTGTGAAAGCTAGTTAGTCCTCAGAGAGCAGGCTTCCAGATTAGTTGCATCTTGCTTCCCCCAAATCCTATGTCCAAAGTGTATGGTGTCTTCATTAATAGGGTCTTACTTTCAGGTTCTCAGAAGCAACCAAGGACAATGGCCATAGCCTATCCTATTTTGAGAGTCTCCCTAATTCCCCTGACCAACAACTCAAAGAAAGATTTTCCATCCCTGGCATTAGGGGTCTTGTTACATAGTCTATGGCTCTTAGATGAAGCGTTATCACCTCGAGTGTATAACTTCATCCAAACTATGTATGTATATACACACTTATATCTGTTAGATACGTATATTTTTAAGTGGACATAAAAATAATGTTTCCCCATGGCCTTTTCGAATATCTTGAACAGTTATTCTTCCTCCCTTCCTCCTACCCCCTCTCTTCCATTTACTATTTTCCCCTTTATAGCACCTGTCTTTCTTATATCCCTCTCTCTAGAGCTCCTCCACCCTGCCCCCACAGCCTCTTTCTACTTTTCTGGCTTCTGCTATTACTTAAGGTTCTATGCTCAAATATAAAGATTCCGAGCGTAGGTCCAAATATGAGAGACTAATGATTTGCCAGCAGTCAAACATTTAGTGAAATAAGTGACTTGGAACTCTGGGTCCTGACATTTCCGTGTTGAAGAGGTATTGAATTGGAGATACAGCTGGGTGATAAGGCTTCCCTCCTGGCAGGTGCAGTACCACAGGTTTAACCTCCAGCTACTGGGGCAGGTGAGGGGGAAGGTGCTGAGGAAAGATGGATCTTCGAGATCTGGATCTTCGAGATCCGTATCTTCAGAGAAGCATCTGCCCAAAGATTTGAGAAGCAGGATGGTGTAGTGATTGAAAACCAGAAATAGGAAACAGGTTATATGTGTCAGTTTTCTTATGTGCACTGTCCAGATGTCCTTGACTATGTAGTGGCTACCTAAAACTGAAAACATCAGAACCAAATGTTCCATTTCCTCCTGACTCTCAAGCCTTCTCTTTCTGAATCCCCACTCCCAAGAATCTAGGCCATCCACTTGGTGAAGGACTGATCCTGTCATCACCCTCACCAACACCTGATCGGCATCAAGGCAAATCAAGTCAATTTTTTTTTCTACTCACCCTTCCAATGTCAAACTGTCATTGCCTATCATGTTATAAAACAAGCACATGGTTTATATTGAAGTCAGGTTATAAACGTGTAAGGTACTAGTGGTAAATAGTAATCTTATCACTTATTAGGTTTCCTAATTTTTCATCAATGTTTGTATTTCTGAACACATGTAAATGAAAATAACTGATAATGCACAAAAACGCACAGTACTGATCATCCGAGTTCTGTACAATATGTAGGACTACCTATTGACATTTTCTGCCCCATTATCTGATGTTGTTGAAAAGAAGCTAAATAAAATCCTAGACATGATTCTTGTACACTGTTGAGTCAATATATCAAAGATCAAAAATCACTCTATGTGGGAGGGAATCATTCAACCACACCTTAACAATCACAAGAGCCCATGCCACCTTGGCTGTAAGGGGCCTATAAAAGAGATTTTTATCTTTTCTAATTCTCTGTATTACTTTGAACATGATATTAAATGGCAAAGGTCTCCTTAAGAATGGCTATTACTTCTGTTGGATTTTGAATAGCAAGTTAATTTTGATTGAACTTAAGATAATACAAGGTTATGCTAAGTGACTCAATTTAAAGCCTTAGATTCTCAAAGCAGAACAACAAGAAACAAGTAAAAGACCCAGCTGAATTGTTTAAAGAGCAGTGACTTTGGATTCACAAGGAATGTATTGTGCATTATTCTCAATTAAGAAAAATATGGTCAGTATAAGTTGTCAAAAATGTTGCTTCCGTAGAAAACTCATGTATTTCACAAGAAAAGCATAACTTGTTGACAAGCAATGTAGTCATTTTTTTTTTTAGTTTGACTCTGTGGTTATAGACACGTGATTTTGTTCTTATCTACCTGATGTTCTACATGACTAATGTATTTCTATTGTGAAGTCACAAGTACACAAGGAAACATTGATGATTTAAGCCGTATATTTGTAGAACTCTCTCATTTTAATTAGCTATAAGTTAAGGAAAAACAGGCATAGAACCTGATGGGGACAGTGATTAATTTGGATTGCCAAAATTGTTTAGATTTTAAAAAGGTTCACCCAAAATGTTGCATGTATTATTTGTAGATGCTTAGACCTTATTTCTATAGAGATCCCCAAAGTGAGGATAATGAAGCCCAAGATGGAGATAAATTTATAAAAAAATAAAAAAAGACTGACATTATAACATAAGGTAATAGTAAAATATTCATATATTCATCTATGAGACAGTATGATACTTAATCTTTTTTATATGCATGTGGTGTGTGTGTGTGTGTGTGTGTGTGTGTGTGTGTGTGCGCGCGCGTGTGTGCGTGTGCGCGCGCGCACATGCATGTACGACTGTGTGATGACACCTCTATCCTCATCTTCTTTCTTGTTTGGAGGCAAGGCCTCTCCTTCACTGTTGTTTTGTGTGCCAGGCCACCTGGCGTGTGGGTTTCTGGGTTTGCCCTGTCTCTGTCCTCTATCTTGACAGAGGAACACTGGGAGCACACTGTCACACTTGGCTTTTACATGTTTTACATGGGTATTTGAGCTTAGGGCCCCGGATTTGCACCACAAATGCTTTACTCACCGAGCCATCAACCTAGCCCGCAAAGGAAGTATATAATTCCACATATGGACAATTATTCATTTGAGACTTTCCTCTCCTCTCACCAAAGACCCAACTCTTTCAAAAAGTGTTGTAGAATTATTTAAAAATTACAGAATTAAGGGACTAGACACTCAGGGAAAGATAATCTTCACGGGCACATAGTAAGACCTTTGACCAACACTTTCTGACTCCCCTTGGTAACCGATTCTTGAGAAATGAACTAGATCCTAGCCTCCAAGATGGACCTGTCAGGATGGTGGGTGTGGCAGTTTGCATGACAAATGGGCTACACAGCTCAGATAGCTACACACTTGCTCCATGCTGTCTGCAGGGGTGGGGCGGGGCAGTGGAACAGCCTTGCTAGGGGAAGTACACCTCTGGGAGTGGGCTCCCAAGTCTCTCTCTCTCTCTCTGCTTTGTGTGGGTGGTTAAAGTCATAATCTCTCAGCTTCCTGCTCCAGTTAACCAGTTGTGGACTGCCCCCCCGTAACTAACTCTGCCTCTGCAATCCTGAGCCCAGATAAACTCTTCTTTCTATCAATTGCTTTCTGCTAATGGCGTTTTATTACAGCAACAGAAAATTAACCAGTACGAAGGCTTAGCAGAAGAACTATACTCAGAGGCGGTTATTCTGTTCTCCAAAAACACTTCTAGAATAAATTTAAAAAGCGATGCCAAGTCACCACACACAAATTCCTCCTGTCACTAGTAAAATATAAATTAATTATTTTCCTTTCAGTTGTGTAGAAAAACATTTTTGTTGTTGTTTTTTGTTTGTTCTGGTACAGACTCATTGCCTTAGGTTAGGATCATATTTCTAATGAAAATAATTTGGCAGAATATTGGGGTGTTCACCTACTTTGGGAAACAGACTGATGGCAAATCCAGGGCACTGGCAAACTTTGCCTTGAATAAAGGACAGAGACTATGTTTTGGATACTGTGTGGCCACAATGTAAAAAGGCTCCACAAAACACCTCTTGAATGCATGGATTAATTGGTTGTCAAGATCTCTGACTTTTGAAGGTGAAAAAAAGCAATATATCCTTTGGTACTTAAAACCAGTACTGGAGGATAGACAGGTGTTTTGTGGGTTTGGCTGAAGTAGTGTTCTCTTTGGGGCCTAAGGAACATGAGAAGTCTTTCCAGATTGAGATTACAGGGAGACCTCACCATGTGACCAAGATAAGAGGGATGACAAAGCAAAATCTGTCTTCAATCTTCACAGATGAGAACGCTCAGGCCCACTTGAGGTATTTGCATATTGGAGCCAGCTCATTGTCTCATCCTATAGAATAACACCTTGCTACTGGCTAGGGCTCCTTCAGTCCCACATCTTGCTTCTTATAAGAGACTGTGAAGTTGACTAAACAAGAAATGACAAATCTCCCCTTTTGGTTCAATTTAAAGTCCTCTTTTAAATTATGGGTATCTCTTGGTGTGTGTGTGTGTATGTGTGTAAGTGTCTGCGCATTTGTGTGGAGGCCAGAGGTCAACAATGAATGTATTTGTCAATTACCTTCTGCCTTTAGTATATATCAGGCTTTCTCACTGAACCCAGAGATCACCAAATTGGCCAGACTGGTTAGGCAACAAGCCCACACCCCCCAAACCCCTCCGCCACACAGGGATCCTTCTGTCTATCTGACAGCCTGCTACTATGGGCATCTGCCTTCTTGCCTGGCTTTTGTGCGTGTTCAGGATTGAATCTCAGGTCTTCCAGCTTATACAGCAAACACTCTACCAAATGAACCAACAACCTGCCATGTATATCTCTCTCTCTCACACACACACTCTTTTTAAGTCTATGCTTAGCCAATATCTCTCCCTGACTCCAGGTCTACTGGAACCATGTATCTAGATAAATAGTGCAAACTAAAGATGCTGGGAAGCTCCTGGCAGGTAGTTGCAACAGCAAGATAAGGAAATCGAGAAGAGCCCGTTCTACCCTGACATGGGGGCAGAGTGAAAACTGGACCTGGACAGACGGTGTCAGTCCGTGGAGGGTCTGACTCAATGGGAGTTGCCCTTTAAGGGTATTGCTAGGTTGTCCAGAGATATCTGAATGAAATATTATGTTCAAATGTCCATTTATCAACTTGATAACCAACTCTTGGACAGATGTCTGGAATGAAAATGTTGCTTGGAATGCAGAGAGATACCAAGTAAATGTTTTGCAGTGACATTTGCAAATGGTTATAACCAGCACCCCACACTCCTAAACAGTAGTCAAGCACATTCTCAGGGTTGGCACAATGAAATTAGATCTGACTGAAAGGATAGCTAGTTAAACAGAAAGCCAACCACAAGACCTTTCATCCCTAATTAAGATAAAAATTCTTTATCAAGTGGTAATAGTTTTCTCCAAGGATCACTAATGAATAATATAGATTTACCTTTTCAAGACTTCAGCGAATTAGGATAAGACAGTTACAATTGTGCTACACATGTAAACATATAATAAGTTATTCATTCTCGTGATAGCTATGTTCTAGAGTCTCTGCTTTACAGCATCAACAATTCACCACGTTAGTCGGTGGCAAACCATTGCTTCCAGGGGAAACATGAGGCTGGTCCCCACACACCTCCTCTCACAGCATTTTTCCTGCTAATCAGAGAAACATGAAGTATCTCTTTCTGAGGAAATCTTATTTAATATGCATTGTTGAGTGGTTAACTTTAAACAGAGCCTGCAGCCCCAACTGAATGAAGCACACTAACATCTTTTCCCTGTCAGGAGCATCTTGTTCCCTAAACACTAGGCAGCCCCTCGGCATTATGCCTGGAGCCTATTTTAAACAGTGAACTTGCCAATAAAAGGCACAAAAATGGAAAAGGAAAAGGGCAGTGGTTTGTGGTATGAGGGTGAAAGCCAGAAGGCTGAACATACCGTGGTTCCACTGGAGAGGGAATGTAAACGCATAGGTGACACCTTTCTAGTGCTCTGTGCGTGTCCATGAATGATGACATAAATGTCACCGGAATGGGCCCTAGGGCTGTGAACAAATGCCAACAAGTAAGAAAATCAAAACGTGGAAACTGTGAGTAATGAGGTCGACTGAGTATGTCTGTGTGAAACATGCAGCCCTCCACCGACCAAGTAAGGGGGGCCCAGAGCTGTTGGCTCTTGTCAAAGCCACTCTGTCATTTCAGAACCCGCCAGGAGCGCTTGGGTATGTGTTTACCTTTATCGTTAGGGGCAAGTGTGCTTCTGTGAAGTGTCAGGTTTTCTTAAGCTTGCAGATGCTTAGAACTGCGAGGACCCTATTTCTTAGAACCTTAGAACCCTATCTCTCTTTGGCATGCTTGAAATGCAAAATGCAAAGGTTCCTACTTTTGAAAGTAGCAGGAAATCTGAAACACAAAAGCTGCTTCTGTCATCCTAGGGTCAGGAAGAGCTGAAGCCGCAACCTTGCCACGGCCAGGAGCTGAGCGTGGCACTGTGTGTAACTTGGCATGAATCCATGGGAGGAAGGAGGGTCACATAGGACCTGGCACTTTGTTCTTCTTGGGTGATCTTTGGCTGTAAAGCGAGGATAATGACATCTATCTCACAGTGTTGTGGAAATCAAAAATCATTTTGCATTTTTGTCTTATCACAAATAGGAGCAATAATAATCATACTTATAGGAAACACAGATAACGCATCCAAGTCAAAGGAATCCAAGGTCACGTCAACAAAATAAACATTTCTCAAGAACACTACATTCA